ATTACCATCCCTTTGCGTGATCTGGACACGATACTTCTGTTGACACAGCCCAAAATGGCATTTGCCTTTTTAGCTACCGCATCACACTGCTGACTCAAGTTCAATGTATGGTCTACTAAGACCCCTAGATCCTTTTCGCACATACTGCTGCCAAGGCAAGTCTCCCCCATCCTATAACCATGCATTTGATTTTTCCTACCTAAATGCAGAACTTTACATTTATCCCCATTGAAATTCGTTTTGTTTTAGCCCAGTTTTGCAGCCTGTCAAAATTATCCTGTTTCCTGACTCTGTCTTCTGCCATATTTGCTACCTCTCCCAATTTAGTATCATCTGGAAATTTAATAAGCATTCCCTCTATCCCTTCATCCAAATCATTGATAAAGATGTTGAACAAAACAGGTCCCAGGACAGATCCTTGAGGCACTCCACTTGTCACCTCTCCAAGAAGATGAGGAACCATTCACAATCACTCTTTGGGTGCGATCTGTCAACCAGTTACAGAGCCACCTAACAGTCATAGAAGGCTGTTAAAAGAACAATCTTTGAAGGTCTGACAGAATGTGCTTCAGATGAAGACCATATTTTTCACTTTCTCTTTATTTTTATATCTTTACTTCATTTGTACTCCCACCTTTCTGCCTAGTGGGGACCCAAAGCAGTTTACATCCTTTTCTTTTTTATCTTCATGACAATAGAAGGTAAAACCTAGGTTCATTGTATTTGTTGTAACATCATGCAAAATCCTCAAACAATTTCATCTTGCAGCAGCATAGTCATGATGAACAAGAAGATGGGGAGCAGTGAGCTCCGTGGAACACAACAGCAAAGGAGCCGAAGAGGTACCAGGTCAACAATGACAATCTGCTCAAAGAACAAAGTTTGAGTCCAGTGGCTCTTTTAAGACCAACAAAGCTTAATTCTGGGTATAAGCTTCTGTGTGCATGCACTCATCTTCAGATACTGACTTCAGTATCTGAAAAAGTGTGCATGCACACAAAAACTTATACCTCTATTTCCATCCCTTTGTTGGTCTTACAGGTGCCCCTGGATTCAAACTTTGTTCTATTGCTTCAGGCCAACACGGCTACCCACCTGAACCAATCTGCTGAAAGTTAATTTGCTCTAACACATTGCAAAGAGGCGAGACAAAATTCTTACTAAACACACCCCTATGAAACAGGCAATCAGACATGTCTACAGAACAAGACGGGTAGCTGTGTTTGTAGCAGAGTCCAGTAGCACCTTAAAGTCTTAACATTTGTGTCAGGGTGTGAGCTTTCCTGAGTCACTGCTCACTTCCGATACAGCTTGAATGATATCTGAAGCTAGTTGTATCACAAAAGCTCATGCCCTGCCACAGATTTTGTTATTCTTTAAGGTGCTACTGGGCTTTTCCTCTTTTCTAACCCTAACCCTACAGAAGAGGTAGAAGAATACAGGAAATAAAAGAAAATCTCGTCATTTTATGCTCTGAGACTCAAATTTCAGAGCATCTTTCTGTCTGGAAAGAATGAGCAGTGCCTACTACATTCAGTGCTCGGTTTTGGCACCCAGTGAGGCTGGTGGACTGACAAAAGGATACCTTTTTGGCATAAATGTTTCTAGAGGGTCCCACCCCCACCCCCAAGTGTGTGGACTTCCCTTTTGAGTGCAGATAGGAAAAGAGAGGTGTCAGACTTGGCAAGTGGAAGAAATGTGTATGCTAGCTCAGTGAATTGGAGTTTGGTGCTTTACCATAGGTTGAAACAGGTTAGACCTGTTCCATCATTAAAACAAAACAAAACATGTGAATGGGTTCATAGTGGTCCACTGCAGTAATGCTGTGGAGCCATGCATGGTTCTTGGACATACCACCTGTGGCTCATCTGAGCACTATTGCCAAGTGTGGCACCCCACCTCATGTTTCAGGGAAATGGGCAAGCACGTTGCCTGGTAAGGCTTGTGATTGCCATGTGTTTCCTCCTTGAAACAGGCACCACTGAAGAGACAAGTAAGCCGCAAGCCTCCCGAGGTGTGGGCATCATGCCAGGGATGGGAGTAGTGGTTGTCTTCAACAGTCTCCCCACCTTTCTTTGCAATCTTTGCAGTCTCATTCCAGCACCCAAGTAGCTGCCAGGAGGCTGCAGAGAACACCGAGTACAGCAGCCACTCAGGAAAAGAGTAACTTGGCCACGGAGGGGTGTGGTGGCTTTACTCCCCTTAACAGCCAGCAGCTCTCCTCTGAGTGCCCTGTGGCAGTCACCCTCTCTCACCTGAACTGCTGT